AAACCTGGGCATGTGCCCTGACACTCCAACCTTGTGAGCAACACCAGCCAGGCCTAGAGAGAAAAGTTTTAGAAGAAAACAATGGGTTATTGCTTCATGACATTGGATTTGGCAGTGATTTCTTGACATGGCACTACATTTTTGTTGCTGTTGTTAATCCTCACCTGATGATATTTTTCCACTGATCATTAGACAGAGTGAAAGAGAAGGAGGGAGAGAGAAAGAGAGGAAGAGAGGGGGGAACATAAATGTGAAAGAGATACATCAATTGGTTGCCACCCAAACCACCCCATCCAGGGATGGGAATCAAACCTGAAACCCAGGTCTGTGCCCTTTACCAGAAATCAAACCCACAACCCTTCTATCCTTGGGCTAAACTCAAAACACTGAACCAAATTGGCCAGGTCAGATAACCCAACATTTTATATCCAGTGAAAATAGTTTTCAGTAGTGAAGGCAAAATAGTGCATTCTCAAATGAAGAAAAGTATGTGAAGAATTTTTTCACAGTTAAACCTGCTGTAAAAGAACTTTTAAAGAAAATTTGATAGAAAGGGAAAATTCACCAGGGAATCTTGGAATTTCAAGATAAAGTAAGAGAACAAAAGTGTTAAGTACTGGATACTTATAATACCTTATTTCTCCTTTCTGATTACTTTACAGGTGTATAAATATTGAAAACAAAAATAACAGTGAATAAATATGTAATTCAGTATGTGTCAACATAATACATTTAATAATTGTAACATAAAGGGATAAATATAAGGCCATTACACAGCTTTGAGACTTCTCTGTGGTACGTGAATTGTAAAATACATAAACTCTACATGATAAGTTATGAATATATATAATAATTCCTAGAGCAGCCATTAAAAAACACAAAGAGAAACACAGACAAAAACAATAGATGCATTGAAATAGAACACTAAAATATATTTAAATAATCCAGAAAAGAAAAACTCCTGATATTCAGACAATAAAATAATAGAATGATGTGCTTAAATTCAGTTATATCAGCAATAATATAAAATGCAAATTGGTCCAGTTTAAAGACAGGTTGGGTTGTCAGATGGATTTTTTTTTCTTTATTGATTTTAAAGAGAGGGAGAGGGAGAGAGAGATAGAAACATTAATGACAGAGAACATTGATTGCCCCCCTTTTTATGCCCCCCACCGGGGATTGGGCCCACAACCTGGACATGTGACCTGACCAGGAACTGAACCAACGATCTCTTGGTGCATGGGTTGATGCTCAACCAATGAGCCACGCCAGCCTGGCCAGATGAGATTTTTAACACTCCATTATATGCAATCTACAAGAAATGTAATGCCATAGATGAAAAGTAAAGGAATAAGCTTGACTGGTGTAGCTCGATGGTGTAACATTGACCCATGCACCAAGAGGTCACCGGTTTGATTCCTGGTCACGGCACATGCCCAGGTCATGGACCCATTCCCAGTGGGAAGCATGCAGGAGGCGGGCAGTCGATGTTCTCTCTCATCAATATTTTCCCTTCCCCCTCTCTCTAATATCAATAGAGGAAAAAAATTTTAAATATAAAAAATAAATAAAAATAAAGGAATGAAAGCACACAATGGGGCATCACAATACATATATCAGATTGGTTAAAACAAGAAAATAGTGTCCGGCAGGTGTGGATCAGTGGTTGAGCATTGACCCATGCATCAAGAGGTCACCGGTGTGATTCCCAGTCAGGGCACATGCCCAGGTTCTGGGCCTGATCCCCAGTGGGGGGCATGCAGGAGGCAGCCAGTTGATGTTCTCCCTCATCGATGATTCTATCTCTCTCCCTCTCACTTCCTCTCTAAAATCAATAAAAGAGGGGAAAAAATAGTGACATATAGCTAGAGGGCACAGAAATTATGTCACCTATTGGCTGAGTAAATGTAAAATAAAATAATGCAGCTATTGTAGCAAGCAATTTGGCAGTTTATTATAAAACCGAACATGCAGTACCATATAACTCAGCAGCTGAGATCATGAACATTTATGCCAGAGAAACGAAAACTTTAGTTCACATCAAAACTTTTCTACACAAATGTTCACAGCTTTGTGAATTTAGCCCCTAACTGAAATCAACCAAAATATTCTTGTACAACTCAGTAGTTAAATTGATATATCCATGCTATGTGATAAAAGGAAATTAACTTTTGAAATGACAAAGTTTTAGAAATGAAACACAGATTAGTGTTTGGTAGAGGTTTTGAAAAGGATGACAGGTAGATTGTAAAAGGACCAAGAGATTCTTATAAAGGTAACTGTGCTTTATCTTGACCATGGATAAAATTGCATACAAGTATATGTAGAAATATGCTTGGAAAGATCTGAGTAAGGTTGACACTTGTACCAACAGCACAATGTCTTGGTTGTGATATTTGTACTCTAGTTTTATAAGATGTTACCATTGGGTCCTGGCAGGTGTGGCTCAGCGGTTACAGCATCGGACCACAGACTAGTGAGTTGCAAGTTCAATTCCGGTCAAGGGTATGTACCTCGGTTGCAGTTCACCCCCAACCCAGATCGGGTTGTGCAGGAGGCAGCCAGTGGTTGTGGCTCTATCATATCAATGTTTTTCTCTATCTCTCACTTTCGCTCACCCTCCTCCCAGTTTATCTAATGATAAATCGAAGAATTTCTTCGGGTGAGGAATAAAAAAAAATTGGGGGAAATTGCATAAAAGGTACACAGGGTATATACCGTTTGTGTTATTTCTTACAACTTTGTAATTCTACAGTAATTTCAAAGTCAAATTAATTTCTTTACTGATTAGAGAGAGAAAGAGGAAGGGAGAAAGAAAGAGAGCGAGAAACATCTATGAGAGGGAACATCAATTGGCATGCCCCCAACTGGGGATACAGCTGCCAATCCTGGGCAAGTGCCATGACCCGGAATCAAACCAGCGACCTATTGATAAATGGGTTGATACTCAACCACTGAGCTACACCAGCTGGGCTAAAATTAATTATTTTTTTTAAGGTTTTGTTTTTTCATTTTCTTTTTTCTTTTTTTTCTTTTCCTCACCCGAGAACATTTTCTTGCATTTATCTTCAGATAGAGTGGAAGGGAGAGAGAAACCTCGATGTGAGAGGGACACATTGAGTAGTCACCACCCACATGACCCCAACCAGGGCTAGGGTAAAATTGCAACCGAGGTATGTGCCCTTAGTGGGAACTGAACCCGGGATTCTCCGGTGCACAGGCCAATGCTGTAACTGCTGAGCCAAACCGGCCAGAGCTAAAATTAATTTTTTAAATTGAAAGATAGAAAAAGATAAAACATGCAATCACTAATACAAAACAGTTGAAAAGCAAACTCAAATAACTTTGTAAAACAGTTCTGTAAAGACAAAATAACTGGTTTCAAGAAATTAAGGGTATAAAAAAGCTGTGGTACATATACACAATGGAGTACTACGCAGCTGTAAGAAAGAAAGACCTCTTATCCTTTGAGACTACATGGAGGGACCTGGAAAGTATCATCCTAAGTGAAACAAGCCAAACAGAGAAAGACAAGTTTCATATGATCTCACTTATTTGTGGAATATAATGAACAACACTCTGAGGAAGGGAGTAATCCCAGAGACGAGGAAGTCAATACAGACTGACAATCCCCTAAATAGGGGGTGGGGTGGGGAAGAGATAAACCACAGAATTTATATGCATGTATGCATGAACAGTGGACATGAACAACAAACTGGGGAAAGTGCAGGGAGGGAAAGGGAGGGGGGGATCAGTGGGGGAAAAAGAGAAACATCTGTAACAAAAATTAATTAATAAAAAATAAATAAATTTTAAAAAAAGAAATTAAGGGTATAGAAAGATGGATTTTACTACTGATATGGTAACATTGGAAAATTTGGTAGTTTATTTTTATTACCTCTAACATGACCTGGTTTTGGCAAAAACAGTTTTTATTTTGTTTATACCACAGTGGTATTTTGATTTCTCATGCTTGGACATAAATTTTGTTTTGTTTTGTTTTGTTTTGTTTTGTTTTGTTTTGTTTTGTTTGCCTCCCACTGATTTTTAGTGAGAGTGGGAGAGAGGGAGGGAGGAAGGGAGGGAGGGAGAGAACGAGGGAAAGAGAGAGAGAGAAACATTCATGTAAGAGACACACATCTATCAGTTGCCTCCTGCAGGACCCCAGCATTGGCTCAGGATTGAACTTGCAACCCAAATAGGTGCCCTTGACCAGAAACCCAACCCAAGACCCTTCAGTTCAAGGGCAGTGTTATAACCACTTAGCCAAAACATCCCAGGCAAGACCTAAGTTTTAACTTCATTCTTTAGCCCTGGCCAATGTGGCTCATTTGGTCATTCTGTGTACCAAAAGCTGGAGGGTTTGATTCCCAGAAAGGGCACATGCCTGGGTTGGGTCAGGGCATGTGCAAAAGGCAACCAATGGATATTTCTCACATGTCTCTCTCTCTCTCTCTCTCATTTTCCTTTCTCTAAAGTCAATTAAAAAATAATAATACAGTATTAACAAATCCATTCTATAGAACAGGACAGACTTTCTATTTTCATTTGGAAATAATCCCTTTATTTGGGCATAATTGTCTATGAACTTTGCAATATGGCACCAAAAATTGAAGCAGAATTAACTTTCGAAGTAATAATTTTAACATCTATGTAAAAGTGACTTTCCCCTCTTATGGTGATCTCTTTACTTGAACTCAAAATACATGCATATATTGTTTCAGAATCAGATATTTAGCAAGCACTACCTCTGTACCTGAGCCACACCAGTAATTTTATGGTAATTCATTGACACAGGAGCACCGTTTTTATTATGAGCTTTATTGCCATTATGATTCACCCAGTACATAGAATATATTGGTTTGTTTCCACTTCTTTTATGGAAAGATAAAGACTCAGCTTACACTTCTAATGTCATTTTTGTTTTTGTTATGAAAAATAAAATAAATGTATTATGGGGGTATAGAAAAGTACTTGTTTTACTCTATTTTTTTTCTTAGGCTTTAGGGTGAACCTGTTAATCTGCATCAACAACATGATGCCTTAGAATTTTTTAATTCTTTAGTGGATAGTTTAGATGAAGCTTTAAAAGCTGTAGGACATCCAGTTATGTTAAGTCAAGTCCTTGGAGGTTCTTTTGCTGATCAGAAGATTTGCCAAGGCTGCCCACATAGGTTAGTGCTAATAATGTCTTTAATATAAACTTTCTATTGATCTTTTTAAAAAATCATTTAAATAAAATCTTTACTAGTACTTTTGTATGAAAGCAGTGTGTGCCAATTATAACTAAATGCTTACGATTGGGATTGAATTACATCCCTATGTTATACCCCAATATATATATTTTTTCATTTTCAGTAACTTTTGGTTCTTTTTACTATAGTGAATATCTTGTTACTTTATTTTACATTATTACATTCTGTCATATCTTAGGATATGAAATGTCAGTTTTCATAAATCGAAGTTATTATTTATTAGGATATTTGTCATGTTATAGTTAAAATAATAATTGAAATATCTTAAATGCAATAAGTTTGGAAGATAACTAGCAGGTCTGGAGTACTATTTTCTGTAGAAATTAAAATGTTTACCTTTTAACATCAGTATTTGTCATTCTTGAGATATGTTGGATGTGTTTGCACATCATATCATTTAGCAAGAATTCATTCATGTCATGGAGTTAATGAAAAGAGAAATTGATTTATTAAAGGCTCCTAATGAAACAATAAATTTAAATGTTGGTTATTATTAATAGTTCACGAAGTTAAGCGATGGACACACATTTATACTTTCTTTGTGGAAGTTTGGGGCTTGACTTCTTGGGTTCACATAATGTTGATCTGAAATTCTTTCTCACCAAAATAATCACAATAAGATAGCATTCCCTACAGGCCAGTCTTTTTTACTCTAAACATTAGTTCTGTTTGGGTGAATAAAATCAGGGTCTTTTGAATAAAGGGAAATTAATTAGAGAAAGTTAATATTACATAAATGAGAAATTCATCATGCCATTCATGTCATAGTGCCATTCATTTGAAAGTTGGAGAGACATTTAATCACCTGACTTGACCACTATTAGTTCTTATAGAAAAACAGTTTTCTACCCTAAGAAGCCTAAAACACAAATCAGAAAGAATATATGTACCCCCATGTTTGTAGCAGCACTATTTACAATCACTAAGATCTGGAAACAGCCCAAGTGTCCATCAGGAGACGAATGGATCAAAGAGCTGTGGTACATATACACAATGGAGTACTATGCAGCTTTAAGAAAGAAAGATCTCGTATCCTTTGAGGCTACATGGAGGGACCTGGAAAGTATCATCCTAAGTGAAACAAGCCAAACAGAGAAAGACATGTTTCATGTGATCTCACTTATTTGTGGAATATAATGAACATAACAGTCTGAGGAATGGGGTAGTCCCAGAGATGCAGAAGCGGGTAAAGACTGACAATCCCCTAAAGAGGGAGGTGGTGGGGCAGAGATGAACCACAGAACTTATATACATGTATGCATGAACAGTGGACATAGACCACAATCTGGGGAAATGGCAGGGAGGGAGGGAGAGGGGGGAATCAGTGGGGGGAAAAGGAGAAACATCTGTAACAAAAATTAATTAATAAAAAAAAAAGAACAGAAAAACAGTTTTCATTAAATAGATGATCAAAGGTATATAACTCTTGCCCAGACTGTGTGGCTCAGTGGATTGTGCATCTTCCCATGGACTTAGAGGTCCTGGCTTGATTCCTACTCAGGCGACATGCCCTGGTTGCAAGCTCAATCCCCAGTAGGGGCATGCAGGAGACAGCCAGTCAGTTTCTCTTTTACGTCGATGTTTCTATCTCTCTCTCCTTTCCTATCTCTTAAAAAAAATAAATGAAATTATATTTTAAGCCATTGTTTTTCTTTATTGAAGGGAGAAGGAGAGATAGAAACATGAATGAGAAAGAACATCTATTGGCCACCTCCTGCATGCACCCCACTGAGGATTGGCCCCCAACCTGGGCATGTGCCATGACTGGGAATTGAACCAGCAACCTCTTGGTGCAAGGGTTGATGTTTTACCAATGAGCCATACCAGTAGGACTAAAATCTTTTTTTTTTTTAAGTATACAACTCTTTTATCACCTTTTCCTATTAATTCTCATTTATTTACTCAAATTAAGTTCATATTTCAACAACACTATTTTTTTTATTGATTTATTTATTTTTGTTACAGGTGTTTCTCCTTTTCCCACACTGATTCCCCCCTTTCCTACCCTGCCCTCCCTCTCCCCAGCTATGTTCTCTATGTCCATTGTTCATGCATACATGCATATAAGTTCTGTGAGTTATCTTTCGCCCCCACCCCCTCTTCTGGGGATAATCAGTCTGTACCCCACTTCCACATCTCTAGGACTACACCATTCCTCAGACTGATATGTTCATTATATTCCACAAATAAGTGAGATCATATGATACTTCTCTTTCTCTGTTTGGCTTGTTTTGCTTAGGATGACACTTTCCAGGTCCCTCCATGTTGTCTCCAAGGATAAGAAATCTTTCTTATGGGCATTTCGGCTGTTTTCAGATCTTGTAAATAGTGCTACAAACATGGGGGTACCTATATTCTTTCTGATTAGTGTTTCAGGCTTCTCAGGGTATATGCCGAAGTGGGATCACTGGGTCAAATGGAAGTTCAAATTTTAATTTTTTGATGTAATACCATATTGTTTTCCATAGTGGCTGCACCAGTCTGCATTCCCACCAGCAGTGTACTAGAGTCCCCTTTTCTCCACATCCTCGCCATCACTTGGTATTTGATGATTCGTTGATGGCAGCCATTCTGACAGGTGTGAGGTGATAACTCATTGTTGTTTTAATTTGCATCTCTCTGATGATTAGTGATGTTGAGCATTTCTTCATATGTTTCTTGGCCGTTTGTATGTCCTGTTTGGAGAGGTGTCCTCTGCCCATTTTCTAATTGGGTTCTTTGTCTTCCTTTTGTTGAGTTGTATGAGTACTCTATATATATTGGAAATTAACTCCCTACTGATATATCATTGGCAATTATGCTCTCCCATACAGTGAGTAGCCTTTCCATTTTGATGATTATATCTTTTGCTGGGCAGAAGCTTTTTTTATTTTCCCACCTTCTTTTTTTTTTTAATTTTATTTTTGTTACAGATGTTTCTCCTTTTTTACCCCATTGACACCCTCCTCCCCATCCCTCCCGTCCTGTCCTTGGCTTTGTTGTCCATGTCCATTGGTTATGCACACATGCATATAAGTTCTGCGGTTTATCTCTTCCTACACCCAACACCCCGTCTTCTGAGGGTTGTCAGTCTGTACCCTACTTTAGTGTTTCTGGGTCTACCCTATTCCTCAGACTGTTATATTCACTATATTCCATATATAAGTGAGATCATGTGGCATTTGTCTTTTTCTGCTTGAATTGCTTCACCTGGGATAATACTTTCCAGGTCCCTCCATGTGGTCTCAAAGGATAAGAGATCTTTCTTTCTTAAAACTGCATAGTACTCCATTGTGTATATGTACCACCACTTTTTCATCCATTCATCTACTGATGGACACTTGAGCTGTTTCCAGATCTTAGCTATTGTAAATAGTGCTGCTATGAACATGGGGGTATATATATTCCTTCTGATTGGTGTTTCAGGCTTCTCAGGGTATATTCCTAGAAGAGGGATCACTGGGTCAAATGGAAGTTCAGTTTTTCATTTTTTGAGATAATACCATATTGTTTTCCATAGTGGCTGCACCAGTCTGCATTCCCACCAGCAGTGCACTAGACTTCCCTTTTCTCCACACCCTTGCCAACACTTGTTTGATGATTTGTTGATGGCGGTCATTATGACAGGTGTGAGGTAATACCTCATTGTCGTTTTAATTTGCATCTCTCTGATGATTAGTGATGTTGAGCATTTCTTCATCTGTCTCTTGGCCGTTTGTATGTCCTGTTTGGAGAGGTGTCTATTCAGCTACTCTGCCCATTTTTTAATTGGGTTCTTTGTCTTCCTTTTGTTGAGTGGTATGAGTACTCTATATATATTGGAAATTAACCCCTTATCTGATATATCATTGGCAATGATGTTCTCGCATACAGTGGGTTGCCTTTCCATTTTGATGGTTGTTTTGTTTGCTGTGCAGAAGCTTTTTAGTTTGATGTAGGACCATGTGTTCATTTTCTACTATGTTTCTGTTGCCTTAAGTGATGTGTCAGTGAAATTTCTGCTGTGTATTATGTTTGAAATTTTGTTGCCTACATTTTTTCTAGAATTTTCATGGATTCACTGGTCTTTTATCCGTTTTGAGTTTATCTTTGTGTATGGTGTAAGCTGATGGTCTAGTTTCGTTACTTTGCATGTAGCTGTCCAATTTTCCCAACACCATTTATTAAAGAGGCTGTCTTTACTGCACTGTATGCTTTTGCCACCTTTGTCAAATATTAATTGAGCATATTGCCTTGGGTCCATTTCTGGGTTCTCTGTTCTGTTCCACCTGTCTATATGCCTGTTCTTGTGCCAGTACCAGGCTGTTTTGATTAAAGTCGCTTTGTGGTATAATCTGGTATCTGGTACTGTCATCCCTCCAACTTTGTTCTTCTTTCTCAAGATTACTGTGGCTATTCAGGGTCTTTTTTAGTTTTATATAAACTTTTGGAGTATTTGTTTTAGATCTGTGAAATATGCCATTGGTATTTTGATGGGGACTGCATTGACTCTATAGATTGCTTTGGGTAGTATGGACATTTTAATGATGTTAATTCTTCCAATCCATGAACAAGGTATGTGCTTCCACTTTTTTATATCTTTCTTTATTTCTTTCTTCAATGTCCTGTAGTTTTCTGCGAATAGGTCCTTTACTTCTTTGGTTAAGTTTATTCCTAGGTATCTTAATTTTTTTTGCCACGATGGTAAATGGGATTGTATTTTCAGTTTCTCTTGCTGTGAGTTCGTTGTTGGTGTATAAGAATGCCATCGATTTCTTAACATTAATTTTGTATCCTGCTACTTTGCCAAATTCATTTAATAAATATAGTAGTATTTTAATGGAATCTTTAGGGTTTTCTATGTATAATATCATGTCATCTGCAAATAATGACAGTTTCACTTCCTCCTTTCCAATTGGGATCTCTTTTATTTTTTCTTCCTGTCTGATTGCTGTGGCTAA